TCATTAACTTATCAGTATTCAAACAATATAGTTATATTTGTTCCCATTGCTATGATAAAATACCTGACAAATTAATGTAAGGAAATGTGTATTTGGTCATACAGGGCAAGACTGAAGTCCACCACAGCAGGGACAGCATGGTGGCTCCAGTAGTGGAGCCCAGCTTGCTCGCTCCTTTCCCCCTTTACACAGTTCAGAAACCAGCACTCAGAGCGGTGCCCCTCCCATTCAGGGTGAGTCTCTCCTAGAAGGGATTCTTTTTGGTCTACTGTATAAAAGGACACAGACCATCTTGGTGGGGAAGTCGTAGCGGCAGGAGTGTGAGGTGGCTAGTCACTTTGGAAGCACAGGAAACCGACCAGGATGAAGGTTGATTCCCAGATCATCCCACTACCTTTTACTCAGCCCCAAAACCAACCAATGGCATGTTACCATTCATATTCCCAGGGTAGCTTCTTCTCAGTGAAATCTCTTTGGAAACCCTCTAAGAGACATATGCAGAAGTAAAATATCCACTTAAGGTTCTAAGAATATGGTTAGGTCAGTAACATACTTGGTGTACAAGTATGAGAATCTGAGTGTGGATCCCTAACACCCATCTAACAAAGGCAGATTTAGTAATTTAAACTTGTGGCTTCCTCAGCACTGGGGTTTGAACAGGGACTTGCTGGCCCCCAAGTCTAGTCAATCAGTGAGCTTCATACTCAGTGAATCCCTCCATGGATTCTGCATCAGCTCCTGCCTTCAGGTTCCTGCCCTGTTTGAGTCCCTGTCCTGACTTCCTTCAATGACAAACAATGATGTGGAATCATAAACCAAATGAAGGCTCTCCTTCCCAAGTTGCTTTGGTCATGATGTTTCATCACAGCGATAGTAACCCTAAGTAAGACAAATTGCTAATTAAAAAAAAAAAATAAGGTTGGGGTTTGGCAAGGTGGTTCTTCCAGTAAAGATGCTTGCTGCATAAGCCTAGACACCTGAGTTCAGTCCCAGAAACCTGCATAAAGGTAGAAGTAGAGAACTGGCTTCACAAAATTGTCCTTCTTGGCCTCCACATTTGTGCAATGGCATGAATTATAGAACACACACACACACACACAAACACACACAACTGAGTATGTAAGTCACATCATTTCGGCATGTGGTACTAGACTGTAATCCCAGTTACTTGAGGCCTGTCTAGACTACATACTTTGTTCAAGATTATCCTGAGCAACTTAGTAAGATGCTATCTCAAAAACAAAAATAATAAGAATTGTGCATGCAGTTCAGTGATAGAGCAATTACCTTGTATACATGGGTCTCAGATATCAGTCTAAAGAATTGGAAAACAATCAAATAAAAACACAAATTTAAAAAAATGTAACCACGGCTGGGGGCAGGGGCATGAAAAAAAGGGGAAGTGAGAGTAGATTAACCAAAATTAAGGATGTATGAAAGCCAACTAATTTGTAAGCTAATTATATACATATATATATATATACACATACATATACATACACACACACACACACACACACACACACACACACACATATAACAGTGTTGCTCCTGGGAGTTGTGAGTTATTAAATAGAAATCTCAGCTCCAGACATGGGTTATCAGGCTATGAGTTGTTAATAAGAAAGCCTCAAGAAATACCCAAAATTATATAGGTTATTGCCATTGCTCTTTGTTATCCATCACAAGTAGTTGTAAAGATTTGATTGTGAAGATACCACTCACTTTGATTGCAGGACACAGGAAAACAAGGCTTGAAATGACTAGGAAAATCTACCTGCTGGTTAGTTTCCCAGAGCTAGTAGGTGCTGTGAGGATAGTGAGGAGAAAAGACATCACTAGTCTCATTAAGCACTAACTAAATCTTTCTTGTTATAACACTGCCTTGACAGGCAAGACGAGGCCACTGGTGCAGCAGGGTTAAGACTGTACATGGAGCTAACCAGCTGCTGTGGGAATGTGTGGTGTCTCCGTTTAGGGACTTTCTCTGTAGCATCACACCACAGCCTTTCTCCACTGCTGCTTTAGGAGGAAACACACATTTCCAACAGTTATTTTAAAATAGATTTGAAAAATATTTGGAAATAACAGATATTTTGGAAGTATGGTTTTTTGTTTTGTTTTGTTTTGTTTGTGTTTTCAAGACAGGGTTTCTCTGTGTAGTTTTGGTGTCTGTTCTGGATCTCACTCTGTAGACCAGGCTGGCCTTGAACTCACAGAGATCGGCCTGGCTCTGCCTCCTGAGTGCTGGGATTAAAGGCCTGCGCAACCACTGCCTGGACATTTTGGAAGTATGTTAAGCTGAAGATAAGTCTACATATTTTGTCAAAATGTAATTAATGACTCAAAACATTACTTAAAACTGATAAATCAGATATATGAATATTATTTCAAGGCTTGAGCTATATTTTATTAATAATTGAAAGAAATAAATCTATGATATCACAAATTTATTGACCATGGCCCCACAGAACACATTGTTTGTTATGTGACTAAGGAAAATACTGAAAGTTCAAAATTATTTGTATAAAATAACCTTGTGTTATAAAGTGGAATGGGCCTCACATAGTCAAGAAATGTATTTTGATTGGGAAAAATGTTTGGACTCATGAAATAAATTATGTATTTATTGATTTTTCTTAAATAATAAAATAATTCACCTTTTAGTGACTCTTCGTCTTAATTAGGGTTTCTATTATTGCGATATAACACCATGACCAAAAAGCAAGTTGGGGAAGAAAGGGTTTATCTGGCTTACACTTCAGCATTCCTATTCATCACCGAAGGAAGTCAGGACAGGAACTCAAACAGGGCAGGGTCCTGAAGGCAGGAGCTGATGCAGAGGCCATGGAGGGATGATGCTTACTGGCTTGCTTCACATGGCTTGTTCAGCCCACCTTCTTAATATAGAACCCAGGACCACTAGCCCAGAAATAACACCACCCACCATGGGCTGGGCCCTCCCCCACTAATCACTATTGAGAAAATGCCTTACAGCTGGATCTCAAGGAGGCATTTCCTCAGCTGAGGCTCCTTCCTCTCTGATGACTCTAGCTTGTGTCAAGGCGATAAACAAAAGTAGCCAGTACACTAGGTTATACAGTAGTTCCATCTTTTGAGAAATCTCCACACTGATATTTAAGAATAAGTGTCCCAAGATATATTCATTAATGTTTTCAATATAAAAAGTAGAAAGAAGAGGTAGAAAACTTCTTAATCCCTAGTTTTAAGATAACCAAATTACAAAATGATGCAATTGCTTAAGTAGCAGATCCATGTAACATTAATACCTACTACTTATGGTTATTATAATCTTCAAAAACCATGAACACTATGATGGTGTTTCAACTATATATATTTTAATTTAAAATGGAAACATAGTTTTCTAATTGGTTTACAGTTATTTTATCAATATATTTCTCTGGAACATAAAAGGTGATTTGTATTTATCATCATGGTACCTAGAATCCTGAATCCTGTTAGAATAGTAAAGTGATGTCTCTCCAATGGAATGAGAAGAAAGATCAGGCGACAGGAACTGACAGCAGTCACATTACAAGGAGGATACTGAAAGTCATTTTACAAAGCCCTGGGAGGAAGTATGGCTTTGTCAGACAGGGAGGGGTAAGAGAACACAGATTTTATATGCATACCATACAGATTTGAATATTTTACTCTGTAAAGATATTTTATATTTTATGGTTTTGGAGTATGTAGGGTAGGTTATGTGGTTTTGTGTGTGGGTGTGAGAGGAATGGATTATTCACATCTAGTTGTCAGAAATGAGCTTAAGTCTGAAGTAAAACCTAAGAGAACTAAGTTAAGCAATGTTAATTTATAACTGGAAAGCATAGCAACCTTCTGATCCAGAGGTTACATAAGCTTCTGCTTTTGAGTCATGCCTTTTATTAGTCTAATTCTGGATAACTTCTGCTTCCTTCCTAAGTCCTCCTGTAGGGGATGGAGGGAGGAGAGGTAACAATGCTGTAAGAACAATGAAAGTACAATCATGAGGCTTTGAGTTCAGAATCCATGCAGAAAAGCCAAGTGTGGCCTCGTGTCCTTGTAAACCCAAGACTGTGGGTGGCAGACATGTCTGTTGATCTCTAGGTTTGGGTGGCCACCAACCTAGTTCCATGCATTGTGAGAGACCATATCTCAAAGAAAAAGGCAGTGAATGATAGATCAAGAAACCTCATTTCCTTGTCTGGTCTGTATAGACACATGTGCACTCACCATACACACACACACACATAGAAAATTCCATTGGACTCTTTCCTAAGGACCAACAACTTACTTAATTTGAAGGAATGTTTGACAAGGGATCCTCAATTACACTCAGCCATATAGGAAATGTCTGCACTATTTACCACTTCATTTGTACAAATAGCTTTACGTATCTAATGACCATTTTATTTTTTAATTTAATTTGTCATGCTGGAATTCCAAGCCAAGGTATCATGCATACTAGGAAAGTGACCGAATCTACAGATCTGCACCTTTATCAACACTTTTTTTTTTTTAAACAGGGTCTGTTATGTAGTTCAAGATGTCTTTGAACTCATAATCCTCCTGCTTCAACCTCTGGAGTGCTGAAATCATAATACTGTACTGTACAGTCAACCTCTATCAATGCTTTCATGATACACATTTCTGACATTTAGGACACTAGACACAGCTACAGGAATTAGAGTGTATTCACCTGGATTCTGCATGCATTTCAATTACAAGCCCGATCTGTCCCATCTGAATCATTTTTTTTTTTTTTAAGATGAGGAAAATGAAGTAAGAACAAGTGTAACGATTTCTGTGTCCCTTTGTTTTAGCTTAGCTGATGTAATCCCAGATCTTCTAACTGGCTGACGACAAAATTCAGGTTTTGGATGCTCTCTTTTGATTCCAAAGAAAGGCAAACATGTTCTGTACTTTTTCACTTGCTTGCTACTTGCTGGAGTATCACCTCAGACACGCTGGATTAATCAGTATCAATGAGGGTTAATAGAAAAGCAATAGGAGTTACTGAAGAGAGCAGTTCAGGGAACAGGTATTTCTTGCTAAAATGGTGATCTTGTGTTATTGCACATTCTTCCTGGAAACACACAATAAGATGCATCATAAAGAGGGAGCGGGTAACATATATTTATGAACTATAAACTCACCACTCACATCATAGCAACTTGAACCATTGGAAATATCAGCCCTTTAATATGAGTTTTACATTGTTTAAATGTGAAGTAGGAAATTATGAAGAATGGAATCAATAATATTTTTTTCTTAAATTTCAGGTCTGCTGAAATTTAATCATTAATAGTAATTATTGAAGCTTTCTTAGCCTATGTGATCTCATCTGTAAATCATCAACAATGAATCACAGAACTATATGATTACACAGTAAGTACTAAATATAGTGACTAACCTATATAAATAAATATTGCTATTTTCATTGACACAATGGTCAGGTTTTTTGTTTGTTTGTTTGTTTGCTTGGCATATGAAAGCAAATGCAAGTAGACCTAGGTAGTTGGAAGATTTCTATACCTGTAGCTACATACCTGAACTTATTATTCTATCACTGTCCATATCAGTACTTACATTTATCTATGTATCTGTATTATCCATATCATCCAGGCATGGTCATTATGTCCAACATTTAGTAAGAGAGAACCTCAACTAAGAAAATTGTTTCTATAAGGTTGTCCTGTAGGCAAGCTTGTGGGGGCATTTTCTTGATTAATGATGAGGGAGGGCCCAGCCCTCTGTGGGTGATGTCACTCCTCGGCTGATGGTCCTGAGTTGTATAAGAAAAAAGCCAACAAGCAATGGGAACAAGCCAGTGAGCAGCATCCCTCCATTGTCTCTTATTCAGTTCCTGCCTCCAGATTCCTGTCTTTTACGTTCCTGCTCTGACTTGTCTGGATGATATAATGAACTGTGACAAGAAATTGAAGCCTTTCTCTTCCTCCCTCTCCCCTTCTCTCTTCTCTCTTCCTTCCTACCTTCCTTCCTTCTCCTTCCTTTTCCGCCCTTGCCCCTCTTCTTCTCCTTCCTCCCCTTCTCCCTCCTTCTCTTTCTTTCTTCCTGTCTTTCTTTTTCTTTCTTTCCTGTATTTACACTGCTCTAGTTTGGCAAACACTCACCTTTTCCTTTAATATAACTTGTCTCTGTCCATCAAGGTACTTCATATCATATTTAAGAATATTTTATTAGAGTTATGTGGGTGTGCCTGTTCACCAACCACGTGTAGGTTCATAAGTTTGTGAGCACTGTGACTCTAGAGGCAAATCCTGGGTGTCATTTCTAAGATGCTGTCCATTTTCCTGGTTTCAGGATCTTTCATTGCCTGATACATGCCAAGTAGGCAGGATGGCTGGCCAGTAAGGTCCATGGATATTCTTGTCTCCATTTTCCCAGCACTGGCATCATAAGCACTTATCCCTGTTCCTGGTGCACTCTGTCTTTCACTGTTTCTTTGTCTCTGTCTCTGTCTCTGTCTGTCTCTGTCTCTGTCTCTCTCTCTCTCTGTCTCTCT